CGTGCGGCGGCGCACCTTTGAATTATGCGCGCAATTACGCGGCGGCGCATGCGCACGCAGGTCGCGAGACACACGAGTCGAGCCCCGCGTAAATACAAACAAAGACGAGCCGATAAGAATGCACTTTATCCATGGGCATAAAAAGTGGTATTAAACCTTAACATCATATCCCGGTATCATGAATATAATAAACTAAACAAGTATTAATATAAAATATTGAGAAATAATGGGTATTAAATACGTATATCAGACGCGAACTCATGATGCATCTTCGAGGAGAAATAAACATTTATTAATTTTATGTGCCGAAGTATGGCATTTAGTAATCGGTGCCGTTCGCGCGGGCTCTTAAATGCATTTGCCGTGAAACTCAATCGCGTTTCCTGATATGCTACTATTTATGGAATGGCGATCGTTGCGGCACTTCTTCTCGGTGGAGTATCCCTTTGTCCGTTTTCACGGAAGCGGAAATTAAGAGGCGTGCTAAGCGATCGCTCGGCGAGGTTCGTCCGAGACGACTGCACGCCGAAGTGCATCCGGCGGAGCCCCCTCGCCCTGTCTGTGCATTGTCATCCGCGCATTACCATAGAGCATTACAGTCCTCTCCTTGACTCGCGGTCGTTACTTCAATTTCCCGGTCCGAGAATAGCAGCGACTCGAGAAACCCTAAGTAGACCATTATAGGTGCACAGCCCCCCTGCATGCATATTGCACCGCGAGCACACGCGACGCATCCGCGAGTGCAGCGCGCGAGGCCCACTGCACAATCGATAGGTCGGCGACACGTCGAGAGTCTTTCGCGGGCCATTCGAGAGCCTCGAGAGAGAGAAAGAGAAAGAGAGAGAGAGCGTAAACTCAGCGAGTTTCGTGCCAATCGAGAGAAAAACCAAGGAGGAGGAGGGAAAGGAGAAGTCATTCGTGCCCGAGTGCGTCTCTTCCGCGGCGTTTTTCCGCCGGGACGTCTCGCCGTAGTCTCGCCCGAGACGTGTTCGAGACCCGGCGACTGCTCCACCTTGCGGTCTTCATCCCACCCCGAAGAGGACCCCGAAGAGGGCCCGAAGATCGATGCCACGTCGTGATTACGCGATTTAAATAACGATACCTCCGCACGTGATTCATAATTCAGGGTTCGGTGATATCGCCCTCTCCCTCGCGCCTATCAAGGAGAACATGGGAGGGAGAGAGAGGTCCGCCCCCCTCGGGACCTCCTCACAGTATACTCCACCTTTTTCTTTTCGCGCTTCCCTAATTCGCGTTTGCACCGCGATATTTATCGCTCGCAAATGCAGCCCGAGGTCCGTCGACGCGTCTCCTTATTGGAAGAGATAACAAAGAAGAGAGAAAAATGGGAGAAATTTAAAGGGGGAAGAAAAAAAAAATAGAAACCTGGAAATCGGGCATGGAACATCTTCCCTGGACATTGGTCGAATTTAGGGGATCCTTTGGTATGACTTTTTACGGGGGGTTGGGAGGGGGGATTTTGGACATTAATACAGGGCGCACCTTCGATAAGGCCCCTCGATCGGCCGCGCGTAATCCGACCGCGGCGAGTCTGCGGCTTGCGGCGTCCGGTGCGCGGTGCACTCCGCGTATAATTATCCGTACTTAAGCCCGATGCAAAATGCACCGCGGGCGACAGACGCGATTACGGAGGCGCCCCTGTGCAGGCCGGATTGCAGCAGGGAGGTGAGAATAAATTAAAAGACGGAGGTGAGCGCCCGAGCGGTAACTAGATCCCTCTCTTGCCGACCTCTCCTCGCCCCTTGCCATTTTTCTCCCGGAGATGACGAGAAATAAACGTGGAAATATATATGAAAAGGAATGGTAAAATAAAATCCGAGCGTGAGAAAAATCGAAAGGATGAAGGGATACCTAAGGGGTCCGCCCTCGGGGTAAGACGCGACCCCGAAATCGCCCTAGAGGGGACCCTGGGGGGTGCAGGGGTGGCTCAAAGGGTGCAATGATTTTTTTATTCGAAATCCGTGGCCAGGTTGAAAGGGCGCCGGAGTGAGCAAAGGGGTGGCGGAGATCCGAGACGTCGCTCTGATAAAACCCGACTGATAAGGGAGCCTCATGAATCTCGAAGAGCACTCGATTTCGGAGTCGGCTTTACTCGGATGGATCGCGACTCGCGAGGCTTTTCTTTCGTTTCTCTTCAGCCTCTATAAGTCGAGCATCGAGATACTAATAGTGCTGATCCGACTACTGGAAGCTGAGCTCCCAAGCACCGAGACTCGAGCCTCGGCTAAGTGGCGGGGTAATGAATATGCTAACGTGTGCCGGGCTCGGGGTGCTTTGTGCCCCCCGCGAACGGGGTTCAAGCACCTACGCCGTACGCTCGAGGGTCGCTCCTCTGTCCTGGCTTCCGCGACTTCCGGTGCAACCGGAAACGTGTCCGGGAACGGGACCTAGCCGGGCTCGCACCCCCGAGATTTGTTACAGAAACACGCAAAGGGTTCGCCTGTCAGCCTATTTTCCGGAACATCCCCCGATTTGAACTCAAGGAACCGAAATTAACGTGTCCAGAATTTCGCCCTCCCTTGCACTCAAACTCTCGTAATTTAATTTAACCCCTTGCACTTCGCCATAATTATTAAACATGCTAGTTGAATGAGTCTTGCAGCGCAAGGGGTTAATAACTCGAGAACTCGCCCTCCGACGTCTCGAAAGCAAAGAACCCTCAGACTGGAATTTTCGAAATGAAATTCAAAACTCTCGACAAATGTCCGTGTAATCTCAAGGATCACGTCAGGACCACTCGTCGATCCCCTTACATAGAAAAATCACGCAACTTCGAATTTAAGCGAAATTGCATTGTCCTTATACCTGTCCAGTACCCTAAGTGCGATTCTCCGGTCATCTAAACGATTTGCCCATTTCGCGGGCGATTAATCGAGCGATCTCCCGGAATTTCGGGCCGTCCGGGGATGTGTTCCCGGAGAGGATGTTCGAGCTGGGTACACGCGCGTGGAAACCGCTGGCAGACTCGGCTCGCAACCGCGAGTATCTCCACGACCGATTCTGTTTGAGGAGCCACCCCTCGCCCGAGGCGGCAACGGGGTTAAAGCAAACACCGGGGGTGAGCGCCCCAGCTCGGCCGGCACACGGCTGAAACGTATCGTTTCGGAACGGTCACGCGTGCCAAGCAAACAAGGGGAGTTTCTAATATTACCGCCGAGCGAGCCGCCCCGCGAGTTACGCGCGTACACGCGTACACGCGCAGACTCGTCCGCATTAGCCACGATTGCTTGACCAGCGGCTCCTTTATTCCGCACGTGCGGGACCGCTTTTCTCGCGAGGATTTTTCTCACCCCCCTATGTCGCGGAAATCTCCCCTCCTCGATTTCACTTAATAACCTCCCCTCGAATTAAAATAGAAACAATAACTAGAAATCAGGCACACGTACTGAGTTTCACAATTACAAAAAAGAAAATAAAAAAAGACCGCACCACGTTTATCGGATTTTTCTTAAATAAGCTCCCGAGTAAACGCGAGAAAGTGATGAATCTAATATTTACACCGGAAGGATGCCATGTATTAATTAATATTTTATGTCCTTGGGGAGGAAAATTGGTATTCAAAATAATTCCTTGAATATGATGTGACCTGGGAGGTGGTTATCGCGCTTCTTGGGGGTTTTTCAACGCGGGTATTACCTGGAGTTACTTTTGCGATGACATTTATGTACGCATTTATACGGGGGCCAATTATTTGGTGGTAATCGTTTTCTGCCGGGTTAATGCGCAACGTTTCTGGGATAATTCCTCTAGGGGCGAGGCCGGCCTTTATGGGGGGTAATTCCGCACTCGCGTCGCGGGGGCACATCGCGGACCTTAATGCTATCTCTTTCGGTATTAACGTAATCGGGGTATTAAGTAGATTCGTATTAATCGAGCCGTAGGTCCGCACTTTGCGGCACCTGCGCGCCGCCTCGGCGTACCGAGCTCGACTCGGTACTTGCGTTATTGCATAACGAGTTACGAAGCAACACGTGTTGCGATATAGTGTTATTAGTCCGCGAGGGGCGGAATTAAATGAGAATGCAGGTGGGCAAGGACTTTGTAAATCCTCGTAATGGGGTACAGAGTAAGGGGCTTACCTTATGCCCTGGCTTTCGCCATTTTCCAATGCCTCAAGATTTACCTAAACCCCTGAACTTTAGTAAATCATCGACCCACTAATTACCGATAATCCTGACACCTCTTTTGCCGTTACATTTCCGAACATTGATCGATTTTAATATCCCGCTGGATGTCATAATTTGAAAAATCTCACGATTTTCCAAACGTATCATTTTTTCGAGTTCGGGAAAAGCTGGGGTTAGGGAGAAGAAACACGCGTGCAGAGGAGTTCCTTGGACAGGAGGGAGGCAGAGACGAAAAAGAGCACCGACACGTGGGGTAGAAATCCAGAGGAGCCTCGCAAGCAAAATGTCTCCGCGTTTTACGTCACTTTGAGCCTAACTCATCGCTCAATCGAACGTCCTCCGACGAGCGAGAAATACGTCAAAGGTAATCCGCCATGATCCAGGGCATAACGTCGGACCTTCGTCAGGAATTTCCTGGCTCTCTAAAAACCATCCCCCAGGTCCCAAGAGCATGGGAGAGGAAAAAATTCCCCGAGTTAACGTAAAAAGAATAAATAAATAAATATATATATAGGCCAGCCAGGAATTTCAGCGGCCGAGTGGCCAAGATCCTTGAAAAGGATCTCCTCTCGTTTCTGAGCTTGAATTATCGCGCCTGCTAATCCCGATCCTTGGTCGTGCAGCAAACGCGCCGCGACCTCCTTCCCTCTTCAGGGAAACCCTGAAGAGCACGCGGGGACGCATTCGGCGGGGATTAGTGCGGCGTCGCTAAATCATCGGCAAATATGCCGGGTCCTCCTTTGACCTCGCGGCTCCTCTCGGCGAGCGGCGAGGCACTTTACGACCTCGCAAAAGGCCGTTCGTGCAGGAATTCCTCGGACCGGGTCGAGGGAGAGCGGAAGGTATACTCACGTTTGCAGGCCTTGCGATGCGTGATGGGTCGCTCGGGGTCCCTGTAGTATCCCTCCTTGCAGTAGTGGCAGTGTCTTCCCGCCGTGAAGTGTCGGCACTGCAGGCAAACGCCGCCGCTCACGCGCCCCGACAGCTTGTACAGCTCCATGTTGAACCTGCACCGCCGCGCGTGCAGGTTGCAGTTGCACACTGAAACGAAGGAAAGTGCATGGTCAGTCGAGTCGACCACTCGTCGAAATTCCCGAAATTTTTCGCCGTATCATCGCGACTGGTTTCCCATTATAAATAAATGATGAACATTTATGCGTAACCTTTTGAAAACGAAGCCATTTCGACATATGGATGAAATTGCAGTTGCACACTGAAACGGAGGAAAGTGCATCGCCAGTCGAATCGGCCGCAAGTTGAATTTCGAGAAATTTATCGAGTGAGTCTCGATTGAGATTTCGACTATTTTGACATTATAAATAAACGATGAACATCTATTCTTGAAATGACCGATAATATAAAGTAAATGATGAAACGATTTCTTATACAATAATTTCCCGTGAAATTGGATATGTACAGAGGAGGGTAAATGTTCATGATTAAAATAAATGACGAACATAGTATTCATTTGAATAATTTTGCAGGAAATTTTATGTCGAGGGGTGTGCTAGGATTTCGGATTTCTAGGAGTTCCGGCAGGGGAAGATAGATTCGAGGGTGGGAACCACCCCCGAGGAAAGTGCGGAGGGAAGGTCTAACTGGTTCCTCCGGCCATCGAACTGGTCCATCCATTGGCCAAAAAGTGGGCACGGGGACTCATCCGTCACCATCCGATCCCCATCTTCCCGAAGTCCTCTCCCCATTGATTCAATCCCATGGTTTACCCCAGGAAGACTTCCCCGGTATCGCCGTCCCCCGGGAAGAGCCATCCGTCATATTTTGTCGCAACGACAGGTACTCGGGTGTAAATTAAAAAATACTTGGCGACACTTCGGTAGCGGTGTCGGACATATGAGATTCCAGAGGCGCGGCCGGATGATCGATCGGGGGGGATCGCTTTTATTCCGGGGACCCCCAAATTCGCCGGTGTAAAGACGAGACGGGAATGCACGAGGGGACGCTCGGAATCGCAATCCCCGAAATTAATATTACCGCGATCGAAACGGAGGGAGATTTTTCTACCCTCCCCTAGAAATCTCCTGGCTGGATCTTTTGACCAGGTTCGACCTCGGCGAGATATCAAAATCGAAACCAAAAGCCGGAATTGGAGACGCGATGACATGCTCGTAGAAATCCAGGAATGTGAAAGTCCCACTTCGTGGGCCCCTGGAGTCGGGGAAACTCGAGTGACCAGGAACGAAGAGACTCTCTCGATCTTCTGGAGAGACCGGGTGCATTTGCCCACACCTGATTCACCTGAAGGTGGAAAAATCGGGGAACTAAACGATAGCTTCATTACGCCTCGCGAATCCAGCCTCCGTCTCGATCCGCCTACACGAGCACCCACGCTTGAAATCGGACTCGCCAGGCTCTCTTTGGCCGTTAATCGATCTCGTCGATCGTCGATCGGCGATCTCGCCGCCTCTGGAATTCCACGAGGTCCGATTCCTCTTATTACCCGGTCGACACCGCAGCTCGCCGCTCGTTTTCCGCGCGATCGGGCGCCGTAATTAGGGATTAATTGCGGTGTCTTTGCGAACAATAGCTCCGGTTTACGCGCGATCGATTCCCCAGGGAGAGAGCCCGATTGGGATCGATCGATCGGGCACCGATCGATCCTTGCGATCGACACCTACCGAAAAGTAGATTGCTCGTCAGGGGATCGGTCGGTAACGACGCGTTTATCCTTTGTGTCTCGATTACCTGGCGCCAGGTAATCGATACCGGGTCATTACATTTCCAAATGCCCCCGGTGTCACGCGAGCACGATGCAACCTTTCTAAGTGTGATATATATTATTTAATTATTGTACAAATACAATAATTTTTTTCTACCTCGCATGTTTTAGGGAAATAGTCCTTGTACGACCCTAGAAAAAGGATAAGGAATGGCGGACGGTCCGAAAGAGTAGTCCAGGCCGGGTGTAAATAATCATTACATCGTTTCACGGTGATTAGGCCAGGTTGGCCAGGTTGGGCCCTTCGGCCCGATGCTGGGGGGCTTCCATTATTTCTCTCGTCCTGGCGATACGGCCCAATGCTCGCGTATTAAAATGCAGATACGCCGCGGCGTCTGCGGCGAGGAACTTTGTGTGCTTTGGACTCGCGGTTGAGGGAATAAAATACGGCCGGGTCCGCGGTCTTGGGTCCCGGTCTTCCTTTTACAGGGCTCCATTATGTATCCGGCGTGGCGGCGGCCTCTTCGGGGTTTGTTTTATGGAGAGGCCCTCGGACCTTCGGGGACTCCGAGATTTCTCGCACCCTCTATCGCGTGTCTATCCTCGGTCCATCTCTCTCCTCCCCTGGACCGGATCTCGAACGATTTCTACCCTGAAGAGGATACCCCTCCGGGTATTTCCTTCTGGTAGCACGACTGGAATGATCGTCGTCATCGACTCGGGAGGTGTCGGGGATAAACGAGGGTCGATAAGACACCTTTTACGGCGACTTCTGAGTCGGTGTCATTTGTCGCTCTCCCAGGGTCCACCAGGTGACCACCGACTGACCAGCGGTCTCCGTTAACTCGGTGTACAAATGACTCGTACTTACCGCCGGTGTTAAGCCATGAAATAATGACCGGGCTATTAAGACGTTAACTCCGCGTCAACGTCCTCTTCAGCATCTCTGATTCCCTCGAGATCTCTCAAACAGATCTCTCAGGCTCATAAATGAGACAAAAAATTCGATCTTTGGAAAATGTAATTACCTCATTTCATTTTTGTCACGTCTTATAGCTTGAATGCAATTTTCGGGAAATAGGTGTCTGACGCGCTTATAATTTTGGAAAGAAAAATTCAATCTTTAATAAATAGGATTATCCCAATATTGTTGGCACGTCTAATAGCTTGAGTGAAATTCTTGGGAGATTTGTAAAGTACTCCGAGAAATGTCTACAAGTTGCTAGGAGTTCCTGGACATTCCTAGAAACTCCGAAGGAACAATTCGGTCTTCCTAACGAGGCAACAGGAGTGGATTTACGAGGTCTGAGATCACCTGAGAAACTCTCAGATCAAGAGACCGGGTGCACGGTTGACAGGTGACACTTAATTTGACATATTTAAGGGGTCCTTTTTCTCGGGACAAAGGCGCCGATTCTCCTCCGAAATATCGACGAACAAGCGTCAAACATCTCTGGGTCGATCCCCGGATTATCTCTCGATCTCCTCGATCGCAGCTTCCGATCGTCTCGAGGGACAGCTAGGACATTTGTCCCCGATCTCGAGGAGGCCATTGAGCGGTCTAATCTGCTGCGAAATCGGGCAAGTAAATTTCAGAAACCTCCTAGCTCCCTGCTGATAGTTCCGGATTGGGAAAGACAAGATCCTAGATCTGAATTTGCAAATAAATCTCCGATATTTTATGATACATAAGATGGCGTCCCGATTTGCAAGATTAACAGGTGTATCTAGGCCAGGAGAGAATCGAAGTCACCGGTGGGAAAGGATTTGAAACCCGAGCCCAAACCGCGACGTCTTCAGGAACGCCATTGGACCTTTTCTCGTCACTTCGGATCGCAGATGAAGTCACATCTCCTGCCATTTATTTCGTCTCCACTCCAGTCGATTTGAATCTTCCTGCCAAGGCAGCAGATTCCGAAAGGGGATATTCGGTAGGTTCAGATCCCTCAGGGATGCCTCCATATCCAGGTCGTCGGAAAATTGAGAGCATCCGAAACCCGAGACAAGCCGCAAGGTCTGCGAGAGGGTTACAAGGTCCCTGGGGGGTCTTCGAGTTCTGGAAGTGCGATCCACGAAACAAGACTCGGAGAATTCCAGGAGGATCCCATCTCTCCCGAATCCCCATGTCGAATGTGGCCATAATTCCCGAGAATCGGGTATTCGAGCTCCGGAGTCTCTATAGCAGTCCGAAGAAGCGCCTCGAGGAGGGTCTCTTCCGGGTGAGATTCGCCCTTTCATCCCTCGGGATGAAAAAATCAGGTAGGAGAACCAATAAACGAATTCTCGTCTCTCGATTTTCTCCATCGGATGGAACGGCATCGAGGGCAATCGGGACGTCTGCAAGGACGTCTTCGGGTTCCCTCGGGATCCCTGAGATCGCAGGTGGATAACCTCGAGGTGGCTCGAGATCGGGGCCGAAAAGGGGAGAAAATTACGAGCTCGTTCCCTCCAGGCGGTAAATTGCAGGACGATTTGGTAACGAGCGACGAGAGGCGTTACACATCCCCTCCCCCCTCGCCCCGATTCCCTCAGGAGTCCAGTAATTGTGAGGTTAGGAACCTGACCCGCGCACGGTGAACGATTTCTGATCTCCTCGATGGTCCCCGAAGAGGGCACGTTCTATCCCGATTCGCGATCCGACGTCGACCGGATTCCCCTCGTGAATTCATCCTCTATTTATTTATTAATAAATGAAAAAGAAAATCCCGCCAGGAGGTCGACGATCTCGAAAGGGAGCGCCGCGTTCACCGCTCGCGATTTGCTCCGGTTTCCCACCCCCGGCCCTCTTTCAGGACGGTGAAAACAACCCCTTGACACCGATCCCGGTGAGATAAATAATTCTCACTTTCAAGGGACGAGCTCTCTGGAAACTTCCCGTGGGAGCGCATTCCCTCGGCGAGATCACGCGATGATTCAGGGAACAATTAACCTCGTTACTCGCGCTCTTCGGGGTGCTCTCCGCGGTATGAATCGCGCCGGTCGATGCGTGGCCGAGTTTCTCCACATTTTTCCCTCCTTCTCCCTCGTTCACCTTCCTCTTCCCGATCCCATCGCCCTTTGGCTGTCGACTTGATTTCGTCGAGCAGCAATCGGGATGATAAAACGATTACCCGAGCCGCTCGACCCGTAACGAGCCTCGCTCGTTTCCTGCTCGACCTTCTCCTCTCCCTTATCCCTCCCACCTTAACCCTTGCTCATTTTTCCTCGACTCGTTACCGAGATATCCTCCGCCCCGGGCACTCCATCCAAGAGGTTGCTTACCCGCGATAGCTCACGGGAAATGTAAGATATGTCGTGTAAGGTGCGCTCAAGCGGTCGGCAAAAAAATCGGGGCCTCGATTTATCGCGACCATTCAATTTATTG